TAGGAATTTGATATGTTTTTGTTGTTCCTTGGCTTAACAAGCATGAAACTTGGTCAGCACTCATAACTAGAAATATAAAAGGTAATATTTAAATTTTCCCACTATTCATATATATATTGAAATTACATAAGCTCACTGAATAATGTGTTATAATCTCTTATGTACATTGCAAACACTTTTCAGTTACAGAAGATTATTAGACTGCAGCCTTAATTTTTGACCCTGCGAACTACTTCAAACATACTTGCTTGTGCACCTGTTTTAAATCCTTCTAGCTTCAGTCCATTGAAATGGAACAATTTATAGGACCAGGACTTTATGCACCATGAATGCTTATATGTATAATAGCTACTGCTAGGAAAAAAAACATGATTAAGTGAAAAGAATTTTCTCAGCAGAATTTTTCACATGTATAATTCTGTTTTTGTTTCTAAATCTTTGCAGCCACTGTTTTCTTATTTGTATTTGCAATAACAGTTGCTTTTTATTACAACATACCAAGTGCAGACTTCATAACGTTTATGTTCATTCAGATTTGGCAGCCATCTGAATGTCAAACTTTTTTCCATAACACAGACTAATTGAAAATAATCCTATTTGTGAGAATTATTCTCAGATCCTTTTGCATATAAATAAATCCATTGATTGATTTTTGTCTGCAAATTATGTGACTGATGATCTTAGAGAATCATAGGTTCAGAGAACATAGTGTATTTGTGAATTATCTGTCGTGAGAGATCTTCCACATTATTTACCGGTACCTTCTGTTCTCCTTATGCAAATCATACAGAATACCTACAAGCTCATTTCTTGAACATGGTTTATAATGCTACAGTTTATAAGAAAACAGTATTTTACTGTGTACTGATTAACAAGTGCAAAATGTCAGCATCAATTAAAAAACAAACCAACCCTGTAATTTCCCATGAAAATGGAATGCCGGAAAATTTTCACCCATCCCCATTTTGAAACATAAAAAACAAAACAAGAATCATTTAAGCCTACAACATAGCATCAAAACACAATTTCAGCACTGTAATGGGGAAATACGTTTTTTATAAAGAATAATTCAAGGACAATGCCCTCTACAGTTAAAAAAAAGGAACAGGTTGCAGCAAATAAATAAATAATCCACTAGCAACTGTTGCTATGTACTGAAGTGAGCCACAAAGCTCAGAAATTTCAGGAGATCACCATCTCCTGAAATTAGGCCCTGCCCTACGCAGTTTCACAACACCATGGAGGCAAGCCTCACTTTTTCAGTACATGCAGCAAGCTCCTAAAGTAACAACATTTTGAAGGTATTCTGCTTTATTCTATATGAATGTCTGAAATGCCTGGATCATTTGTGTTGGGTCCCCGATCTCCTTCCCTCTCCTTTTTAAAAAAATAATAATAAAATAAAATAAAATGCTTTTATTTGCTTACAGGGCATCTGGGCATAGATGTAAAGCACAGAGCTGGCAAGACTCCAGCCACCAACCATCTAAATGTGCCCAGAGGTCTAAATTTGTATCTATCTGTATAAAGCAGCACATACGAATTTGTGGTAGGGACCTGTACCATGAGTATTTTAAGGGCCTAGCCAGCGCCCCTTTATCAAAGTAATTTCTGCAGCCTTAGCCCCAATTCACACAAAAATCAAGAACTGACCTTAGCAACAGCAGTCACACCCCTATGTTCACCCTCAGAGCAATGAGGGTGGCGGTGGCGGTGGGGAATGGGCATAATCAGGATTTTGGTTAGGGGGCAGGCTTTTGTCGGGGGGGGGCAGAACCTCAAATTTGTATTGATTTTAATTGATTGGGGGGCAGCTGCCCCCCTTGGCTACGCCCATGGGGGTAGGAAAAGGAGCATGAAAGATAACAGCGGTGCATGTATGCTGCCCATTTAATATATATCGTTGAAGCTTTTTGCAGTTTCAAATACCCATATAGTTGAGACCGGGCATAGCCAGGAGTTATGTTGGGGGGGGCAGGATTTATGTTGGGGGGCAGAACTGAGCTCCATGTAACATGATTGGTTAGTTTCTTGAGTATTTTTATTTATTTACTTGATTGGGGGGCGGGGGGGATCTGGCTACGCCCATGTAGTTGAGTGACTTCAGGCCAGTTACCACCACAATCTATCCTACCTTACAGGGTTGCTGCGAAGACAGAGAAAAGCATACCCTGAACTTACTGGAGAGAAAAATCAGAATTTTATTTTAAAGAAAGAAAAACAGACATTGACACCACCACCTGTTTGCCCCCCTATGAAGCCTGTTCTACCAATTATAGCTGCCTCTCAGCATCATCGCACCTTCCCCGTTTGCATCACCCTAGACTCGTGCCCCCATCCCCGATCTCCCACAGCCCTCCCCATCCATCCTCCGCGATTCCTCGCTCTCCCTCTTCCTCCTGCCGTTATCCTCAAACGGCCACACACAGCATCCCCTGCCCGGCACCGGACGCTCCTACCTGCTTCCTTCCCCAGCGAACGCCGCCACTCCAACGTCCTTTCCACAGGAGACAGACCCCAGCAACGCTTTGCCGCCGCTCGGAGCGGCCTTGAATCGGCGCCGCTGAGGGAAACCCTACAGGTGGCCCCGCCGAGAGCCACTTTTTAAATAGAATTCGCTCGAGCGACAAAACGTACCCCCTCAAGCGCATGCGCAAAAGGCGAGCGGCCCACCACCACCTCAGCGCAGTCGCCCGAGGAAGGCAGTCTCCACCTAGGGCCGCGCGGGGCGGTTGCTAAGGAGACGCTGCTTCGCCACCGCCGTCGCTGCCGCTCTGGAAAGGGAGGCTTGGCAACGTTGTGAAGGCAGGCGCTCGTCCCCCTCCTCCCGCACTTCGTTAAAGCGTACATCTAAAACCGGTTTAATGTTTCGTCTTCTTGTCTATTGAATTTGTTCTAAATATATCCCAATCCCACCATGTTTTACACTCGCCGAACAAAAGCAACGGGCAATAAAAGCAATGAAGTTCAGCAACTAAAAAGCATCATCATAATTAATATTAATAATAAAAACACCACCCAGGACCAAACTTCTGCTATAGGTGGCTTTTCATTAGTAGGCTCAAGGAGGCAAACAAGATACCTGCACAATGGAATACACAAGTAGTAGCACAATTCTAACCCTGTACACAGAGATGCAAATCCTATTTAAATCAGTGGGGCCTCACACTACTAGGTGGAGTTAGAGTTGCAGCCTTAGCCTAACCCTCAATTAAATTCAAGAGGATTTATTTCTGAGTAGATGTCAGGGTTACGCTGCAATTTAACACAAAATAGAAAAAAAAGAGATCCAGCTTTCCTCCATCTGCTTGCTGGAAATTGATGGCATAGGAACAGTAAATGGAGAAAATCATTGGTTCTTCATTCAGCTGGTGGCAATTTGTATTATTTCTGCACCATCAGATGGCAGGGCATTTAGGACAAGTTATTAGGTATCTGCAAAGTACACAAAACTAAGGAAAAATAGATCTGATGCCCTCAGAGGGCTTCAAGGCCAAGCAAGCATTTGAACCTTGAGCTCCATTACACTTTTAACCATTATACTAACCTGGTTCTGAACCCACTATCATCACCCCATGCTTTTTTCCATCCCCTCAGACATAAGAGATTCTGTCAACTAGATTTAGCCACTTGTTTGACTTACCGTAGATGCTACAATCACATTAGACCTTAAATGAATTTTTAACTATTTTAATTTGTTTTTCAATGATATACATATTGTACAAAGTCACAAAATAGAAATTGACTATAACAAGAAATAAAAAAACAACTCCCTCCCCATGTCAGAAACCAGGTAAGTAATCACATTCATTTTTATACATAGTCACTCTTGCCTGTGTTGTTCTTACAGAGTATATTGCCAAGATAATGTCACAATTTCCTTCAGCCAGAATAGATTGAGATATCCAAGGATAAATTTCAGAGCAGAAATATAATGACATCCAAATTTGTGATGATACTGGTGATAAGTTGTTTTGTAAACCTGATTTGTTGGCCAATGTAATAAATGACCATCAAACAGCATAAAATGTGTGTGTGCTTTCTTTTTCCCTTTCATAACCACTACACTAAGCAGTGAAATCCACATGCTCCTGGATAATTTGTGGTACTTCCAAATGTATTGTCCATCAATAATCCTGGGTTATAGGGAAAGCTCCTGTTGCTCGGCCCTAGCTCCTGCCAACCTAGCAGTTTGAAAGCACGTAGTGCAAGTAGATAAATAGGTACCGATCCAGCAGGAAGGTAAACAGTGTTTCTGTGCAGTGCTCTGGTTTGCCAGAAGTGGCTTAGTCATGCTGCTCACATGACCCGGAAGCTGTACGCTGGCTTCCTCGGCCAGTAAAGCAAGATGAGCGCTGCAACCCCAGAGTCGTCCGCGACTGGACCTAACAGTTAGGGGTTCCTTTACCTATAGAGAAAGACAACCAAAGGGGACATGTTTTCCTGTGATTGCATCCGTCCCAAACGGAAGGTGCAAATCCATATGTCATATGGGGTAATTGCACCAGTGTCCTATACCATCTATGGATTATCTTGATAGAATTTTCCCAAACATATGCTGAGACAGATTTAACTGGTTTGTCTAAAGTGGTGTCCAGTCACATTCACAACTGTCTCTCATACCGTCCCATAATCCCTCTAGAGGGCCTATCAAATTGCTTACAAATCTTCCATAAATTAATGACACCATACCCTTACATGATCACACATAGATATTAAATTCTCTAACCATGTTAATGGCTGGCTAGCCTGTGTTTTCAATCCTGCGTCCAATAACAAATGTTGTCATTGGTGTTTCTGGAGCCACTCGAAATTCAGATTTCCTGTATTAGTTGCCAGCTGTTCCAAAGAAATGGGATCATTATTAACATAAAATAGTATCCCTTTCGTTCCCAGTTAGGCAGAGAATTAGATTTTATGGTAGTGGGTGATAATATAGAACTTTAAAAGATTTTAAAAAGTTTTATCAGATTTCATTACTGGCAAAAATGTCAACCAAGTACTGGAATAAAACTTTATTGTCATAACAGAATAATTTACACACTGTCAGAATGGAAGAATGCATTTGCCCATAAGAAAATCAAAGTCTAACATGAATAAAGTACATTGCCATAAACCAGATGCATCTTCTGTTTTCTTCATCGGGCATCAAACACAACCACTATAGTAGAGTTAAAGAAAAAAGCTGGAGACCATGAGGAAAAACAACGGTTAGTTATAAGCATTATGCAAGCAATTATTTCACGCTCCTAACACATTTCAACAAGAGGCATAAGCAAGAAGCAGAAAGTTTGTGCTTTGTGCTTCTTTCCAATGTTCAAGGTGTAACTTTCACATCTCCCTCTGCAATCAGCTGTTCTATCTATTTCAGGGGTAGTCAATCTTTTTATACCTACCGCCCACTAATGCATCTTTCTCGATGGTAAAATTTCCTTACTGCCCACTAGTGCTCAATAGGAGGATTCAGCTTGTGCCACAGAACCCCCTAATGTCCACCTAGAATCCTGAAACACCCACTAGTGGGCGGTAGGGACCAGGTTCACAACCCCTGATCTATTTAAACACCACTGAATGCAATGGCACTCACATGCAATTAAAAGCCACTAAGATACAGTATATACATATGCACAAGTATGGTGCTATGTGTTGTAACAACCTTAGTTGAAAATAATTATGGCTGACCAGTTTACACATTACATTTCACAATATGACTAATCCATCCAAGCTGTGTATAATGAAAGGCAGGCAAAGAACACACTTACCAACCAGAGTATCTGTATATGAAATGTAATATATAAAGTGGATCAAAGTACTGCAGCACAAGTATTTTCAGTACTGATGAGATTTGTAGACCTTTATTAGTGTAAAATTACGCCATCACATTACAGCAACTCTAAACAAATTCTAAAAGTTCAGGTAGTTAGGATCAGCATGCAATAATCAAGCAATGAACAGGCCCACATAGAAGGATACATCTTTTTGTTCTTTTTTTGTACATTATTCTGTATCCACATTCTCTGCATCTGATGGGATCTCTTGCTTTTATTTCATTTTCTGTGTGACATTCTGAAAATATATTAAAAAGTATATGAAAATTGAAACAAAGCAATGAGAACAAAGCTTAACAATGTGAGAGAAAAACTGTCCTTTTATTATAATGCACAAAATATTATAAACAATGTCACATTTTATTGAAAAGAACAGAGTCTAGCTAACTCATTTTACTAAAATGTTAGAGAAGTTAGGCTGCAATCCAAGTCCTGAGGGGTTAAGGAGAAAGTTGGATTGAGTGGAGGTGTCCCTCCGCCCAGCCCTACTGGCCTCTACTTGTGGAGTGATGCATCACTGCTGGCACACAACTCTCCATTCCACCCACTGAATATGCAGGTGGAGGTGCTAATGGGGGGGATTCTGCCACCAGCAGCTGGCAGAAAACCCTGAATTAGAACATTCCAGGTAGGGGCTGAGCTGGCCTAGGATCCTCTGAATCCCAGACTGACCCTACTATCATCATATTACGGCACTGACATGATCCAGATTTAGGGGGCAATCCTATGGCAAGACATGCTGCAATTAGCTGTTTACAATGCAGATTTCTGGTTCAGCTGGCTAATTCCTAGCTCAGCTGCAGATACAACAATGTAACTTGCTCATCTTGGTGGAGCTGGAGCTGAGCCGAGGCCCATGTAGGTTCAAAAATAGGGGTGTTCCAGGTCTGCAACCAGAAAAGGTGGGTTCGGTTGGATCCTAAACTTGCCCAGCTTGGTCTTGTGACCTGGCAATCCAGTGTAGAACACCATTTTAAAGGCTTGTTCCCCTCTGTTTTCGTCAGAGCAAAAACAGTCCTGCTACTGAACAGGGTTTGGATCTAGTATAACTACAACAGCTTATTTTATGCCAGTTTTGTGTGCATAGGATTGCTCCCTAAATCACAGTTGTAGCTCCAGCCCTGCCACTCTGTCAAACCCCTCTACTCCTCCTTTAGATTGTGAGGCCAGAAAACCTATATTCACACTGTATTTTATAAATTAATTTACACTAGAATTATGAAAGGTTCTTAACATTTCATATTGGAGTTCGTCAAATTAGAATGGTTCAATACTGAGTTCAATATTTATATAGAAGATTTATATTTTATATTTTGATTTTTCACCAGTCCTCAAAGTGGCCTAGAGCATTTATAAAATACAAAAGATACACCAATAAAATTAGTTCCACTGGAGCACAAGCTGAGATCTGATACTCCTTTCCACAGGACAGTTGGTAGCCAATGGCCCTGTGGTGGGGAGCAGAGACCCCAAACAAAGCAGCAACAGGCACTTGTGTCATCTTCATCTCCCTCCCTCTCATTTAAACCCACAGAATTCTAAGATGCAATTAATGACAGACTGCATGAACATGAGACAAAACTCTTTTTCAGCAACACTCTATGGCACAACCACCTTACCAAGAAGCTATACCACACAACTCCTACCAGTTAGGCATGACATGATCTTACCTCCACAAATGTATATCATAGGTTGCTGCTTTGGAGGAGGAGCATCTTTCTGGGTGTCCATATTCTGTCAGTAAAAAGAAGACAAATCATGCAGATCTTTTATGAGTTTCGTACGCATAGTTCTCTTACAAGTCCACTTCAGGCTTGTTGTTAAATAAAATCGGGTGATGGTGTTACAGGTTGGAAAAGGGAAGGTTTCTACCTGATTTCTTTATTACGCCGATTTTTTACTTTTAAAACCAAGCAAGAGTAAAAGAAAAGAGCACGCGACACGAGGAAGACGCTACATTATTTACCCGCTCCCCCAACCAACCCATGACTCAACCCTCGCGGGTCGATCTATAGTCTCACCCGGGAAGGCAGGAAACTGCACGAATGAGCTACAACTTTTGGGGAAGGACCTGATTAGGGAATTTATCACCTCACCTTTCAACAGAAACAATCCCCCCAAAACAGGTTTTTAAAAACCAGCTCCGTTACCAGTTCGTATCTCCCATGCACGGCTCTAGGGCGCAGCCTAATGAGCACTACTCTTGGGCGCAGATTGATGACGTAAGAAGCGCGCGCACACACAGCAAGCTCGCAAGTCCCGCCCCGCTAGTTCAGGCGTGTTGTTAAAGAGCTGGGTTGCAATCCTATTTAGCGCTTTATAATCTTTCAGAATTACTCAGTAAACTAAGAGGCTGCAATCCTAATCGCTTTTATCTGGGAGTAAATCCCATTGAATTCAGTGGGACTTACTTCTGAGTAGACATGTTTTAGGATTGCGCTGTTAATGGTTTGCTCAGCAAATACTTTGTTACAGGAATTCAAATGATCAGTTTTTTCTTATAACAACTTGTTCAGGTTTTAACTTCAGTATGTTAGCTTCCAGTATTACACTGCACTGCAACGTACGTTTTGAACATTTATCATAGGTAAAACTTGAACTGTGGCTCGAAGCTCAGACCCAAAATCTATATTAGGGGTTGTGTCACCTACTGTAGTCTACTTCCCGCCCCCTCCTTTTTTCTCTCAAAGTTTATAGGCTGGTTATGATTAAAAATGGATCTGAGCGTTTGCCACGTGTATTTTTCTCACTTCAAGTAGCCACGCCAATTCCCACCCCCATCAAGAAAAAGAGAGTTAGGAGGCAGCATGTCTTGTCACAAGGTGTCTTTTAATGCAAATTAGTTCTGTATCTTTCAGATAGGTTGGGTGCCCTTAAGGCTATATTAAACACTTTCCTGTAAGCCCCACTGAACGTAGTAGGGCTTGTTTCTTAGTAGTTATACACAGAATTAGACTTGCTAGGAGTAAACCAAATACAGTAGGAGCAACCCAAAAACAGAGAAGCAAGTAGTAAGAATACTACTACTAAGCTTTTAAGTAGTATACAGTAGTATTTTAGACTGTTCTGTTCATAAACATATACATAAATATATAAACCACATGTCTGAAACCCCACAGAAGAAAGTCCTGAACAAATTGACCTCAAATATTTCTCTGCAAGGTCAAAGTGGGAAACCTCCTCATTGTCTCTTTCCTCACAAATCCTATCTTAAGGGCACATTTAAGATATGAATAGAGTGTGAGCCTGTGACCTGGCCCAGGAACTAAGTATTTATCATTACAAAAGACTGGCCCGGCTCCCCAGGGTATCCAATCAAGTAAGCATTAACAGGTAACCTGCCAGACAGGAGATAAAAAACGCACTCAGATTTCTGCTGTAGACTGCCCTTTCTGTGATGTATTTATGATGTTTCTGGGGGTGGTCTTGAACTCCAGGGTGGGCAATTTAAAATGTCTATATAAGGGCGGACACAGCTGGGTTCTGGGTCCTCCTCCTTCCCTGCATGTGAGGGGAGCACCCTGTTGCAACAGATCAATAAAGATCAGGCTTACTAACTGTTTTGCTTCTCAATATTCTTTGGTTGGCCTCTGTTATTTTTCTCCGACCGATGGAGAACCTGCAAAGGACTCTACAAGGGCTCTTGTGTACCCCATAAGGGAATAAAGGCAGGTTTCCATTTATTACCGTTCAAAGCAATTCACTTCCATTATCTTGCAATGTTTTGTGATAATATTTTTTATTATTATTTTAATTTTTAATGTATTGATTGCCCTTAACCCTAAAGTCCCAGGGCAGATTGCTATTTAAAATACTTAAAAAAAACTTATAATTAAAAAATACACTCACAGCTAGCCCACACTACACTTAGTCAACACTAGTCAACATTGCAGGTAGAGTGAGGGAACTGCAATTTGTGGTCCTTGCAGGATTTGGACCTTGGATTTCCTGGCTCATTCTTCACATTAGTTCTGTATGCTGTGAAAGATGACATTTCTCTTCTCCTCCTTAATAGGGGGGGAAGTGGAAATTCTAATCTACTATAGGGAAGGGGGGGGAGAGAATGTGTACATCCACCTCAATGAATATGGGGTATAAAATGTGTTCATGTGTGGCTGAAAAACACCGAAGACGGTCAGAGAAATCCAGTTCTTGTGAAAGGAAGTGGGTCATGGGGTAAGGAGGTCAACCATAGGAAATCGACAAGCCAAAGCCCTCCTTCACACGCCCCCAGGTTATAAAAATGCACACGCATCGACGCGTGTTAGCTAGCACGCCTTCAGAGAAAAGCTCTGCAACTTGCTCCTTGCCCGGCCTCAGTTCACAAAACTTTCTGTCCTTTGCAATTAATGCACAACTGCAACTTCTCCCCCCTGCCTGCCTCCCTCCCTCTTTCTGCCGGTCTTGCGCGTGGCGTCCGTTCTGAGCTCCTCTCCTAGGAGGCAACGCGGAGGAAGAGGGAGCGGAGGAGAGAAGCTGCAGCAGTTGGGAAAAGGCGGGTAGTTCAAAACTGAGCGAGGGAAAACCACGGCAGGCGCACGCGGGCAGCGCAGCGGGAGGCGTTTCTCTTTCTCGCTTAGGGCAACGCTCTGGGGCTGAGGCGAGCTGGAGCGGGGGAAGCCCAGAGCTGCTGCTGCTGCTGCTGCTGCTTTTTCTCCAACAGGCAGAGAGCCGTGCTCTTTCTGCATAGATCTTGCGCGCAGCCCCTGCCAGTTCTTAGGATGGGTGCGAATTCGTTCCCTTTTAAAAGCCCTCTTTAATCACTCTTCCCAGCCGCCGCCCCCCACCCATCTCTTGCTCCACATGTGGGAGCAGAGCCCTTTTCACCGTCTCCATTGACTTGTGCGAGGATTTGGGGCGTGTGGAACTGCTGCTGGTGGTGTTTCGCACTCAAGGTGACTGAACCCCTCAAAGTCCCGTTTCTGTCCCTGTTATTTTAGGCCATTTACTAAAAGAAAACAGAGTACAGTTAATTAACTTTAATGTTAATCCATTCATTTGAACATACTTTGACTAACCATACCTATCAGTTTCATGATTAAGATTGTATGTTTGGTAGAGTGCTTGGCTTGTTCTGTTTCTTTTATTCAACCTTGGACGCCTTTCCTCCATTTCACCGTTCCCTCCTCCCCAGGTTAAAAAGGTACTGGTATTTTGATTTTAACAATAAGGAAACGACTCATGAGAAGCGACTCCTGCCTTTCAAATTCACAAGGTAAGTAGGGCTGTTGTGTGTTTTGAGGGAGATCTCACACAGCCACTGTTCTCCCCTAAATCACTCCTGAATGATGGAGTTAATGAAATCCTAGCTGGAAGGAGAAAGTGTTCTGTAGAGGCTGTACACAATTATCTGGGAATAACAATGCGAGTTACTTCTGAGTAGACACCTGTAGGATTGTACTGTTACTGTGGTATAGGTGATGAAATGATGAGGGTGAAGAAAATACACATTTGCACTAGAAAATCCTGCTTTTCTAATGCTCTTGCTTAAAACAGACACATTGACAAACAGTTTTTTATATTCAGTATATTTAAAAGTCACTATAGAGAAAGCTATAAAGTTAAGACTTTACATTTGTAGTTTTGTTTTTAGGCACAATTATCCCTTTTTTTGCATTAATTTGCAGGTCACTTAATTAGAGCATACTGTGGATGGTGCCTTAAGAAATTAAGATCCAAACCTAGTTTCAAGAAACACACACTATTGCCTTCTGTGTCTTGTACTGGCTCTGCATTTATACTAATAACTTTTTCTTTTCTTACTTACTTAAAGCTGAGGATCATAGTTCTAAATTCTAAACATCTTCCAAGCAATTGAGGAAGATGACACTTGGTATCTTGTGTACAGGTGATAATTTCCTTTTGCTTCATAAAGCTGGTAATTACAACTTGCCACCAACGGAGGTTCCATTTTGCAATTTTCCTAAGCAATAAACAGTGTGTATATATCTAAGCCTTTAAAAAAATAGTAAGTTTCCACTTTCCAGGAGTCGTTTGAAAAGCTCCTCTGTACTTTTAAGTCCACCACTGAATGAGACATGATTTGCAGCTGATCAGGAGTGCTTACTATCACAGAGGGACAAGACACAAGCAAAAAGACAGGGAAATGGGGAGAGAGAAATTAACTTCTGATTCAGTGTTAGATTAAAAGTACAGGGGAAACCTCCGGGTTGTGATCTGACAACCCTAAAGCCATCTGTGCAAGTGGCTATAGCAACAACTGTGACAGTTGATTCTCTAGGTAAATGTTTGTATTGTTTGAAGTACTTCCATCTCCCTAGTAGCAAGTTCAGAACAATCCGTTTTGTTAGATGACCCTTGGTTCTCCTGTGTTGAGAACGTGAATAACACTTCTTCTAGTTACTTTCTTTATATTGTTCATGGTTTTTATAATTCTGTCTCATGTTCCTTCAGCTGTCTTTACTTTAAGCTAAAAACTTAGCTACTTAAGCCTCCTTTTTATTTTACAAGGAAGACACTAAAAATGTCAGTTTGTTCTCTGCGTCGGTGTGTTAGTCTTGTGCCTTAAAGAGTGAAACATTTATAATTCACAATACCTTTGTAGAGTCCACTTCATCAAACACATGAAATGTTATCCCAAGCACACGGTACAAACTTAACTGGAGGGTGGAGGTAGTAACTGCATTACAAATGCATTTTAAGACTCTATAGGTCTACCTTGGATTATAATTGGAAGGCAGTGCAGGATTTGGGAGACCTCATTTATACTGTCAGCTGATAACCTACCATGGGATAGGTTGCTGTGTTCTGCACAACCTATGATTCCCATACAATCATAAGAAACTTTGGCCCACCATATACTAAAGTCTAAGAAAGCTATGCTATGTTTTGTAATAGCAAATGTTTTTGTCCCTCAGCATCCTAGGTGATGCCTGTACAGTTGTGGAGTATTTATTTAACTTCAGCCTCCTTGTGACTCCATCAGGGTAAGTACAAAATCTTAGTTTGTTGAAGAGTCATTGCAAATACAGTGGTACCTCAGGTTACTTACGCGTCAGGTTACATACGCTTCAGGTTACAGATTCTGCTAACCCAGAAATAGTATCTCGGGTTAAGAACTTTGTTTCAGGATGAGAACAGAAATTGTGCTCCAGCGGCGCGGCAGCAGAAGGAGGCCCCATTAGCTAAAGTGGTGCTTTAGGTTAAGAACAGTTTCAGGTTAAGAACGGACCTCCGGAATGAATTAAGTACTTAACCTGAGGTACCACTGTACTGGCCAGGATCCAAAAAACTGAGCAGCTAGTTCTATGAGAACGGGATTTGTTTGTTTTTTGAACAGCTCCTGAAAGGTGCATGGCAAACCACTTGTAAGACTGGGTGGATTTGCAAAAATAATTTGTGATCTTTCATGAGAGTCAGCGGTTTAAATAAAATGAACAATTCCATTAGACTAGCAAGCCTTAGGGAGAGAGGGGAGTGTTTTAGGCCCAGCCTATTGGCGAGGCAAGGTGAGGTGCCCACTTTGAGCGGCAGAATACCAATAGGCAGCACCCACCTTTCCTCCACTCACTGTCTCTCTGCCTCCACTGGCAGTGGTGCCGGTATCCAATGAGATCTCTCCGAAATCTCACAAGATTTCATGAAAGCCAGCGCTGCTGCTGGTGCTTTGTGGCTGCCGCCGCACAACATAGGTAAATGTGGTATGGCGAGGCAGCAGCAAGCAGCAAAACAGAATGCACCGCCCCCGGAGTGGATTGATTTTAAATCACTAAGAACAGAGACCAATTTAAGCTAATGTTTAAAATCATTTTTACTAACTGACTGCTAGTAACTGACTCAAGACACATTTGCTTGTAGTTAAGGAGAGCCTTTATACCACATAGGAGCATGAACTGAAATCTCTCTAATGCCCCTCATGCTATTAGCAGTACATTTTACTGCTTATTGATAAGACAGATTTTTGTTTTGCTCTGTCTATATATGCAAGGTTACTAAGCCATATCACTCAAATGAAGGCTATGACTGCGTTCCTAACTGTACTTACCAGAAGGGGAAGCCCCATTAAATTAAATAGGACTTCTGATTAGATATGGTTAAGATTGCATGGTGGGGGCTTCCGGTTACTTCAATACGAGCTTTTTGAAAAACTATAACCCTTATTTGTGAATGTGTAATGTCATGGTATTTTTAAAGGAGGCAACTGAATGGTAAATGATAACTTGAGTGACCTCTTACTATGAACATAGTGGAGCATTTTTCCTATAACTTTATAATAGGTACATAGGCAATCCCTATTCTAGCAGCATTCAACTGTGGTGACTGGCTTCCTTTTCTGATGAAATAGCTTCATATAAGTGTTTTGTTTGGTACCCAGAGATTCCAGGTATGATGTTATTAATTGTAAAATGCTGTTTCCACTTTACAGATCATAACCAGTTCCAAGCACAAGATGTCAGAAAGCCACTCAATTCTATCCAGTATTCTTAAAAGAGGCAGACTGACCTCTCCCGGCAACAGTGCAAGATATTTCAGCTTTAAAGATTCTTGCTCCCCTTCCATATTTCATGACAGTGGATACAATGGATCATTAAAAGACCCAAGCTTTGATTATAATGATGCAGAACATAAAGGCGAACAGAATGACACAGGCCTGCCTGAATATTCAAAACATGCACATTCTAGTTTAAGCACTTCATTGTCTCCCATTGACCATGAAAATGTTATCTTTTTATCAGAAAGAAAGGAACCAATTACACATACAGATTTATATGAAACACCAAAAGTTGTTAAAAAAGACTTGTCACTCCGCAGAAGATTGCTTGTGTCTAAATCAGCTTCTGTTGGTTCTTTGGGGTGTTCTGAAAAACAAGTATCTTCAGGGAGCCGTCAGAAAAAAGCATGTTTAGCTCACTTTCTTAGTCTTGATGAAATAATTTCAAAATGTGCCTTGGATTCTCCAAGAGAGAAGAGCTACAAGCCTTTGGCTACTAGTACTTTAAAAAGTGAGGACCCTATTTCTGGTTGTCAGAAACTCAGGCTTGTTTTCTCTCAGCAGAGGACATCTACAATAGATGATTCAAAATCTAAAGGCGGCTGCTTGTCCGAGCCAGGTTGTTTATCTCCAATCCAGCCTAAATCATCTACAAATACACCTAATATTTTTATTGACAATGTTCTTAATAGTTTTAATGATCAAAGCACTTGTCCAGAATTGATTGAAACTCCTAACTGTACATTGTCTGAGACAAATGATGATAGATTTATCACACCCATCAATAGTCTTGTAGAAGGATTTAGTCTTAATATATCTGAAATAAATACCCCTCCAGTTAAAGAAATAAGTGACTTGAGCCTATCAACCCCTGGTAGCAGCAGCAGCTATAATTCACTTAGTTTAGATAAATCGGAGGAGTCCTTGTCAGAACATGAGGGGTCTTTCCAAGAACTACTTCAAAAACGTACGGAATCATCTAGCACTCTAAACTCTAAAAGAAAGGTAAGAAAGCTACAACGCTCAAGAAGATTATCCACACTTTCAGAATGTGGTTCCCAATCAGAAAAAGAGGAGGACTGTGATACCACTGTTGCTCATTCAAAATGCATACTAAAGATAGCTGGCTCTATCACCGAAAGCAATGAATTGGTTTTTCATGAGGATGACAAATGCATGGCTCCAGATTTTGGCAGTCTGTCAAGAACCCCTGCTTTGCAGATAGTGCGTGCGCTATTTATGCAAAACAGAAGTAAAAGAACAAAACAAGATGACCTGCTGAAGAAAATTGATGGAGTTGACATATCTGCGCTGAAGTGTATTGTGGCTCAACTCATTGGCAGGAAAATGGGCATTGAGAAACTAGATATATTAACAGAATTAAGAATCAGAGACTTAAGACATGTTCTTACTTTGATTTTAGATATCCTGACTGTGGAAAGCCTATGCAGGTAAAAGAAACAACTTTGGGACTTTCACTGGGTGCCCCCTAATGACATTGTACAAGTGTAACATAATTGAAATTCTGTATACTAGTAGTGAATTCAGTTATCTGAGTGCTTATGCTTATGTAGCCAAAATGGCACCATCTACACACATGGGAGGCACCATGAGGCTTGTGGGAGCATCATAATTTGCAGAAGAACAAAAATTATTTGGAGAAAAATCTAAGCAAAGCCCAGAGCAGGCCACAGAAGACTGAACATCCTTAGTGGGCACAGGTGTTAGCTGCCTGGGGTGGGGGATGAAAAACGGGGAGGGAAGGAAAAATGGAAGGGAGTGGCTATAAGCCTGAAGCACTCCACGTTTTGTTGCAGTTACAACTTCACTCCAGTTTTCCCATTTGGATACCCTGTTTTTGTATTATAACCTTTTACAAAATGACAAATCTTTTGGATTCCTCCATTAATTAAGGTTTGGGAATTTGGCATATAACTATTAAGCATAGCAAGGTTGAAGCATAAATAATATTTAAAAATGCTATGTATTAACGGTAAACATTAGCAAATAAAATAATATTGTTGTCTGTCCCTCTGTGACAAGAGGGTATGATGATTAAAAGTGACCAATATATATGTAAATATCCCTATACTTGGACGTATGTCAGCTTCACAGCACTTGTCCCCTTGATCCTGTGCTGCAGCTATCATTGAAGCTCATTTATTCATTCTTGGTGAAGACATTAATGCAGATCAGGTTCCTTGAGGACAAAGCAGCCCCATTCTGAATTCTAGCAAAATGTTTGAATTGTGGCTGATAGCGATTCTTTATTTTAGTATGTGGAAAGTAAGCAGGAACTGGCGAGAAATTGTTATACAAGATAGACATGCGAATCGGAGGAGAAAGTTGTACATAAAACAGCTGGCAGTTGAAGCTAAGGTAATATACCACTGCATGGGCATTATTGAGGGTGTTTCGTGAGACAGTATGGGTTGAAGAGGAGGAAAAGCAGAAATAAAACTCCATATCCAACAGACATTTCATCAGATGAAATTTGTTGTACTGCTTACATGTGCTACTTATTGATTAAAAGATTTAGGGTGATAACCAACAAATTCATACTGAGAATAGAAATGAGTCTATAAACTAGATTCATAGTTTATTGATTTCAGTGGGCCTACTCAGTATGACTTAGTTGGATATAACCCACTGCCTTTAGTGTCTAGCCACACATTTAGCACATTTATTTTTAAGTAGTTCTTTCAAGACCTCTTAGAGGTTTGTTGGGGGTTTGTTTTGATTTTTAAAAATGCTTCTGGCAGATCAGTTTTGGATTAAACCCGGTCCTTTTCGTAGTCGTCTCCCTTTGACCCATACTCGAATCATCTTTATTTCCTTTCTGTGCCAAACTATTTTTGCAAGCTGTATTGTAACAAAGGTGGCACACCAACCGCCAATCTCTGCCAAGCAGTGCACAAAATTCTGGGGAGTTCCACCCCCCCACCCAGAGTTGTGCTTACATTGAGAGTCAAGACGTGGTGTAGACTAGTGAATTTATTCACATATATACAACCTGAGTGTAGCTGGAGGGAGCTACAGATCTTACAGCATTGTCCTCTCAAGAGTGTCTCTCCCTGCTTCTCTCATGGCTTCAGGCAGCTTGAGTCTAGAGCAGCCAGCCGTGCTCCCCAGTCTCTGTGTTGCCACCTCTCCAGCCAGCATCCAAGATGGTTCTGACCGCATGGCATCCCCTTCTTCCCAGAATGGGCTTCTGCTACAAGCCATGGTTGGCATTAAGTAGTAAACAGCACATTCAGTTTGTTATTTGAGGAAGTAATTTGTGGTGTTTGGTTATTTTACCAGAGACACCTGCCAGATACTGAAGATGCTGCCACTAGACTTCTGATGACCAGATTTGCACTACGATCAGTCCAGGCTCAAGCAAAACCTGCTGTATTACAAATGCAGCCCTCTTGTGACGAGTCTTTGACACCTCGTGGATGCAGCCCTGTTCTTCAGTCAGCTAGCAAAGAAGAAGTGTGTGTAAAGGTAGGAAACTGCAGTATGTGTGAGAAAGATTCTTTTAGTAATGAATGTTGCCAGATACAAGTTAAGTGAAGGCTGCCACAAGAATTATGAGGGGAAAGTGATGGGGCTATCTAAATAGATCTCCTAGTGCAAGGACTTTTAGCTGGACCTTCCTCACTCTGTCCTTTCCTATGTGACCCCCTAAGTTGGCCCCAGAGGGCTGGGGAAAACCTCATAACAGATTCAGGGGTTGCACAGGGAGAGAGGAGATGATGGGGAAGTTCCATTTTGCAGCTAAAAGTCCTTGCAGTAGGGCATGGGTAGGCAAACTAAGGCCCGGGGGCCAGATCCGGCCCAATCGCCTTCTCAATCCAGCCCACGCACGGTCCGGGAATCAGCGTGTTTTTTACATGAGTAGAATGTGTGCTTTTATTTAAAATGCATCTCTGGGTTATTTGTGGGGCATAGGAATTCGTTCATATTTTCCCCCAAAATATAGTCTGGGCCCCCACAAGGTCTGAGGGACAGTAGACCGGCCCCCTGCTGAAAAAGTTTGCTGACCCCTGCAGTAGAGGAACTGTTTAGTTGGATACTGCCTGTAGGCCCATATTAGTAACATTTACCATTTGTCTCTTTTGCTGTATCTTGTCATCTGGGATAAAATTTTGTTGACTCTTCTATCTTGATATATTTCTATAGTGAAAATTCATTTACTCATTCTGTTGCAACTCTCTAAAAATTAAAGAAACAGGATGGGGTAGTTAGCAGTCTTATAAAAATGAATGCATGACCAAATCTTAAATATCTCTTCCCCTGATGTAGGTTGCCCAATCCCTCTTCAGTGATGAAGCTTTAAAACCTTGTCCAAGATGTCGGTGTCCTGCAAAATACCAAGCCTTTCAAAAAAGAGGACTCTGTAGCCGGGAAGACTGTGCATTTGACTTCTGCACTTTATGTCTTTATGCCTTCCACGGATCAAGAGACTGTAGCAGTCCATCTGCTAAACGACAAAACAGAAAAGATGCTCTGCCAGGAAGTGCAAAAAGCAAGAGAAACTTAAAACGTCTCTAAATATCTTCAAATGAATGGAACGTATTTCCCCTCCCCCTCAATTCTATTTTGTATAGGTAGCACTTTTAAATAATTATGCATTTTGAAAGTATTACATATTGTAATTTTGACCATTAATCAAGTTGATAATTTAATTCTATGTGTAAATATCCTAAACTTGACTTTTGATACATTTCAGAAAAAAGTGAAAACATTTTAAACTCTTTGTCTTGGTGTTTGTCACTTTGCCAGACACATTCAATGAGATTTCAATAAAGTACTTTCAATGTAGTTTTTACTACATCTTACAACCGTGTTCTGAGATTTTAAATACAGTTCTTGTCACAATGGTAAATTAAAAATAATTAAATATTTGTTACATTTTAAGGAGTTTTTTATGATAAATGTGATAAGATATTGCCATAATAGTACATTAAAAAATACTGCATAGATCAAGCCAAAATTATTTTATTTAATATCAAGCATCACTATTATTATTTTTGAAGTCTTATACAGACATCAAAAGATAAGACTCCCTTCTTGCCCAAGTTAACAATCTAATAGACACACTGCAAAATGAAAAAGGTGTGGGTAAGGAAGAGAAAACCAAGTAAATTTAGGTAACAGTTCTTGCAAGTTAATAAAATTTGTTACTCCTTAAATTGATAATCTCAGCAGTATCATCTGAGCTGGGCAGAGGTGCAACACTCCCTGCTTCTAAGTATGCAGAAGCATGCAGGCAGTCCATAGCCTTCTGCTTGATGGCTATTGCTAGACCATCATTTCACCCCCTTCCACAGTTCCAAGGCAACTGGCAGTTGCAGCTGAATAATAAAGTCACAAGAGATCAAACATAAGGCAATCTGGAAGATATACAAATACATTAAAATAATCAGTTCAGAATAAACAAATACAATTTCTTCATTCACGACTGCTTTAATTCCAAGCTGTGTTTATAATACTACATCCTCCTAACAAGGAACAGAAACTGATTGATAATACACATTTCCTCCTAATCAACTGTGCTGCGAATGCAAGTGAAGCTCTACAAGTGATAATAGAATCATAGAATTGTAGAGTTAGAAGTTATCTCAAGGATCATCCAGTCCAATCCCTTGCAATGCAGGAAACACCATCCAACCTGTGCTTAAAAACCTTTAAGGAAGGCAAGTCCACCACCTTTTGAGGGAGTCCATTTCACTGTTGAACAACTCTGTCAGAAAGCTCTTCCTAATATGTTTAGTTGGAGTATCCTTTCTTGTAGTTTGAATCCATTGGTTCAGGTCCTACCATCTGAAGCAGGCAAAAACAAGCTTGTTCCATCTTCCATGTGACAGCCCTTGAAATATTTGAAGATGGCTGTCCTATCTCCTTTCAGTTTCCTCTTGCCCAGCTCCTTCAACCATTCTTCACAAGGTTTCCAGTCCCTTGATCTTCTTGATTGCCTTCCTCTGCACATGTTCCAGCTCGTCAGCATCTTCCTTAAATTGTGGTGCCCAGAATTGGACACAGTCTTCTTTCTTTGGCGATCACTCGTAGCTGAGTAAGATTGTCTTCCATGAACACAGTCTTGTCTGTAAGTGACTGTGGAGGCCAATTCTGGATCCACAAGTCCTTCCACAGTGGGGACACAGGTATCAGAGCAGAAGTTGATTAATGGTGAGGGTTTGCCAAATGTGTCTTTCTCCCTTTCGTCCTGAGTTTGTGTTTCTTCAAAGCCCTTGACGTGTGTGTTTCCTCTTCTGCAGTCACATAGTCGGTGGCAATTTGTCCACAAACCAGTTGTTGCACGTGGAAATGCCTTGGTGTGTGTAAGAGAGAGAGAGCGCAAGAATGTTTACCTAAAGAAAATATGGATCAGCAGCATCGATGGCAATTTGTAATGGGCATAAATAAGGGCACAGTGTTTCTAAAATACATAGAAGATGGCAACGTTAATTATTTCAACATGAAGTATGTTGAAGCAGATAATGATAAAGTTAATACGAGATTTCATAAGAAAGGGGCAAAGAGAACAAGCTAGAAGAAATCTTTTCCAAAAAAAAGTTCTGTCACAGCATGGAAGTATGGTTCCAAATTGCCTGTGCTTTTCCATTACTAGAATGAAATTAATTACAGCAGTATCCATGCCATACGAACCCAAGTGATATAAACCAGACACTAAAACGCCTACTCTCCCCCCTTCTGAGTACTTTAAGTTGCTGCCAGATGATCTTGTGAGAAACGGAGGGCATTCTTTCTTTGTTGAATTTGGATCTTCAGGGGAGCCTGGGCTAAGAGGCGTGTAGGAGGGTTTGGAGCGAGTAGGTTCAGAGTGACAAACATATTTCTGTTCCCTTGGTGTTTGATATCTGAAGCTCTTCTGTGCATTGTTCATTGAAATATACTCAATTTCACCGCTAGGGGACATCAAAGATTCATCTTCGAAAAATACTTCGCAAAAGCTTGGGGGGGGGGGGGCGAACCTGAACTAATGCTTTTAGGCTATTCAGTGCATCTGTAAACTTAGCATCGTAGGTTCATGCTTCAGCCTTGCCTGCCAACTATAGCCAATGAGTATTTAATATTTAAAATGTGTTTCCTTTGGCTATCAGTTATAACTTATGGCTCTGAGAAGTCTTTGTTTGTTTCAGTGAGATCATGTTAAAGACCTGGAAGGCAAGAAGAAGCTGGCTCATCAGGACTAAGTTATGACTTCTTTCTTGGTCTCCCTAGCAGCTCAGCTGGCTTAGCGCACATAGGAGGACATTTGCTGGGGAAAAAGAATATTCGGCATAGCTCTGGAAACACAAGTATTCCAATAAGTTGGGGTGTCATTAGGTTGCTGACAAATCCCAGGCTTGTTGCTTCCTTGTGGTGATAGGATGATTAGAATAGCCTAACCATGGGCCTCCAGAACTCTGTGGAATATATCCTCTCATTTAGTGGGTGTTTTGTTGGTCTCTTAGAATTATAAAATAATAATACACTTTGGTCATCAGGAAAGTCAGGTTTCGATATCAGTTTCATTGTAGGGTCAAAAGATTTGTCTTTGTTGGAATCATTACATTTGTAAAGTGCTAGTCAACAGAGCTAGCATAGAAAGTGAATGGGCTTCTTAACCTGAGCTGTATCTTGATTGCAGTGACAGTTTTATTTGGGTTGACTCTACAGTGGTACCTCGGGTTAAGTACTTAATTCATTCCGGAGGTCTGTTCTTAACCTGAAACTGTACTTAACCTGAAGACCACTTTAGCTCATGGGGCCTCCTGCTGTTGCTGCGCTGCCGGAGCGCGATTTCTGTTCTCATCCTGAAGCAAAGTTCTTAACCCGAGGTAATATTTCTGGGTTAGCAGAGTCTGTAACCTGAAGCGTATGTAACCTGAAGCGTATGTAACCCAAGGTACCACTGTAGTTGTCTGGTTGTTTGAATATGAAGCTGGGATTTGAGGCATTTAGAGGCTCAGTACTGTTCACTTATGTTGATGAATTTCATCATGATCCCCCACAGGTATGGAAGAAGGGTGGACAAGAAGAATGCCAGACTGGATGAAGGGCTTATTTTTTCCTCTGAGAGAGCAAGCCCCCTTGAATGGAGTTGGGCTACTTCTGAACAAACATGAAAGGATTGCACTGTCAGCCTCTACTAACAATAAAATAAAATCTGATTTTATTGTTTACTACCAAAGTGTTAACATGCACAAATCCACGGGGATCTTGGACATTCAATTTCTGTTTTATATGGAGAAATAAATATAAATTACAGGCTATTATGGTCACTATGAAAATTAACTTGAAGCAAATCTACTATTCTCGGCGCAAAGGAGACTGCATGAATTAAGAAAATAAATGGCAGACAGCCAACCCATGAGCAGAGATAGGAATAAGGGCATAACCAGGAGCAGGGATTCAGAATTAATACTTTAGTGAGACAGTGGAACCCTTTGATACGACTTACGATTCACCTCTCACTTTTCCATAGCCCAAAGTAAGTTTCCGCAGGATTAAACTATCAGCTTTTAAACCATCCGTATTTTCACATATCTCTAACGGGGGGGGGGGGGCTGGAAATCCTTCAAATTAACTCTCAAAGTTGATGACATGTAGAGAAATTAATTCTGATTACAAATGTCATCAGCACCGTTTCTTTTGCAGAGATATTTTGAATCTCAGCTGTTCTAGGCTGAGTTGTTGGAGGTATTTATACTGAATCAGTCAATCCGGGGCAACTAAAGGCCATATACCCTTTTTGCATTCAAATTTTGCCGTGCCTCTTCAAGTTATGGAGAAAACCTTTTGCCCCTGTTGAGCCCTAAACCTGCTGGAATCTGCACCAGGATAGTTAAGAAAAGCCTGTTCAAAGAGCAATTCCTCCATGGAAATGGAATGTACGTGCCCCTGCCAGACTGGTCGACGTTATTTTGAAGCCGAGGGGGTCATGCCAAAGAGTTGTTTGCTTAAAGGAGAGAGGGGGCAGGCTTGCCAGGAAGGGCAGATAAGAATTCTACACAGCACAATCGTCACCAAGGCAGCATTACGCGTTGCTAAATGCATCACAATATCGGCGAACCAACCCCCTCCTCTTGCAGGTGATGGGAGCTGCAAGCAGCGTGGGCAACACCTGAAGGATCCTATCACCAACGCAAATCTTTGCAGCCGTCTAAACGCAGCGGGCTTTTGGGGAGGCGGGGGAGACACCCTCAAGCTATTTCCTAACGGGCTAGGACTGGAGAGGGCGCTGTCGTTTGCAGACCCGGCAGGGCGGCCCTGCGCCCCCTCGAGGCTGAAAGTGAAGGCAAGGCGTATTGGAAAGAACCGGTCGCCTGTCCACCGACGGGGAGATTTTCTCCCCCAGGTTAAACCACTTGTGTGCTCGTTGCTTCCGCGCGCCGCGCTTTATCCGGCTGGCTAGCCAAGCCGAGAGAAAGCCTTCGCCCCCAAGAAGACAAATGTTTGTTCATGGAGTCAAGGAGCCTTGTTTCCCCTGTGCACGGTCTGCAGCAGCTCCATAGCAACCCAGCTCGGCTGTGATAGCGCGCAATAACTAGGACAAGTTGTAAACGCCGAGCAATTCGTGCGTGCCCAGGCTTAGGCCCGCTGCAGTCTCTTTGCCCCGGGCCCAGCTGAAGTTATTTCCCCGGGCTCCCCTGAGGACCATGAGGCTTTAGCTCAGGAGCTTAGGCGGGATCACGAGCTATACAGAGGCAGTGCGCCCATCTTCACCATGCGGGAGAAGAAGCTCACCACGGGTATGTACTGCGGCCGGAGAGCATAGCAGACAGTGAAGAGGATCGGGTGTGCTCCGCTTTCATCCCGTCACAGTTCATGT